AGTAACTGAGGGATAAGTATAGTTGGTAGCTAATATTTTAACACGTTCCCTATAGACCGCCACTATCCTCTGTAACTGTGGGATGAGTATAGTTGGTAGCTAATGTGTCAACACGCACACTCCTCAGTAACTGAGGGATAAGTATAGTTGGTAGCTAATGTGTTAACACGTTCCCTATAGACCGCCACTATCCTCTGTAACTGTGGGACGAGTATAGTTGGTAGCTAATGTGTTAACACGCACACTCCTCTGTAACTGAGGGATAAGTACAGTTGGTAGCTAATGTGTTAACACGTTCCCTATAGACCGCCACTATCCTCTGTAACTGTGGGACGAGTATAGTTGGTAGCTAATGTGTTAACACGCACACTCCTCTGTAACTGAGGGATGAGTATAGTTGGTAGCTAATGTGTTAACACGCACACTCCTCAGTAACTGAGGGATAAGTATAGTTGGTAGCTAATGTGTTAACACGCACGCTCCTCTGTAACTGAGGGATAAGTACAGTTGGTAGCTAATGTGTTAACACGTTCCCTATAGACCGCCACTATCCTCTGTAACTGTGGGACGAGTATAGTTGGTAGCTAATGTGTTAACACGCACACTCCTCTGTAACTGAGGGATAAGTATAGTTGGTAGCTAATGTGTTAACACGCACACTCCTCTGTAACTGTGGGACGAGTATAGTTGGTAGCTAATGTGTTAACACGCACGCTCCTCTGTAACTGAGGGATAAGTACAGTTGGTAGCTAATGTGTTAACACGTTCCCTATAGACCGCCACTATCCTCTGTAACTGTGGGACGAGTATAGTTGGTAGCTAATGTGTTAACACGCACACTCCTCTGTAACTGTGGGACGAGTATAGTTGGTAGCTAATGTGTTAACACGCACACTCCTCTGTAACTGATGTATGATTATAGTTGGTATTTAATGTGTTTACATGTTACCTACAGACCGCCACTATCCTCTGTAACTGAGGGATGAGTATAGTTAATAGCTAATGTGTTAACACGTTCCCTTGTGACCGTCACAAAACTCTGTAAATGAGGGATGAGAATAGTTAGTACCTAGCTAATTTGTTAACACGTTCCCTACTGACCGACACACTCCTCTGTAACTGAGGCATGGTTATAGTTGGTAGCTAATATTTTAATACATTCCCTACTGAACGACAAACTCCTCTGTAACTGAGGTATGATTATATTCGGTAGCTTATGTTTTAACACGTTCCCTTGTGACCGTCACACTCCTCTGTAACTGAGGTATGAGTATAGTTGGTAGCTTATGTTTTAACACGTTCCCTTGTGACCGTCACACTCCTCTGTAACTGAGGTATGAGTATAGTTGGTAGCTAATGTGTTAACACGTTCCCTTGTGACCGTCACACTCCTCTGTAACTGAGGTATGAGTATAGTTGGTAGCTTATGTTTTAACACGTTCCCTTGTGACCGTCACACTCCTCTGTAACTGAGGTATGAGTATAGTTGGTAGCTTATGTTTTAACACATTCCCTTGTGACCGTCTCAGTCCTCTGTAACTGAGGTATGAGTATAGTTGGTAGCTTATGTTTTAACACGTTCCCTTGTGACCGTCTCAGTCCTCTGTAACTGAGGTATGAGTATAGTTGGTAGCTTATGTTTTAACACGTTCCCTTGTGACCGTCTCAGTCCTCTGTAACTGAGGTATGAGTATAGTTGGTAGCTTATGTTTTAACACGTTCCCTTGTGACCGTCTCAGTCCTCTGTAACTGAGGTATGAGTATAGTTGGTAGCTTATGTTTTAACACGTTCCCTTGTGACCGTCACACTCCTCTGTAACTGAGGTATGAGTATAGTTGGTAGCTTATGTTTTAACACGTTCCCTTGTGACCGTCACACTCCTCTGTAACTGAGGTATGAGTATAGTTGGTAGCTAATGTGTTAACACATTCCCTTGTGACCGTCTCACTCCTCTGTAACTGAGAGATGAGTATAGTTGGTAGCTTATGTGTAAACACGTTCCCTTCCAACTGTCACACTCCTCTGTAACTGAGGCATGGTTATAGTTGGTAGCTAATATTTTAACACGTTCCCTACTGAACGACAAACTCCTCTGTAACTGAGGTATGATTATATTCGGTAGCTTATGTTTAACACGTTCCCTTGTGACCGTCTCACTCCTCTGTAACTGAGAGTTGAGTATAGTTGGTAGCTAATGTGTTAACACATTCCCTTGTGACCGTCTCACTCCTCTGTAACTGAGAGATGAGTATAGTTGGTAGCTTATGAGAAAAAACGTTCCCTTCCAACTGTCACACTCCTCTGTAACTGAGGGATGAGTATTGTTGGTAGCTAATGTGTTAACACATTCCCTTGTGACCGTCTCACTCCTCTGTAACTGAGAGATGAGTATAGTTGGTAGCTTATGTGTAAACACGTTCCCTTCCAACTGTCACACTCCTCTGTAACTGAGGCATGGTTATAGTTGGTAGCTAATATTTTAACACGTTCCCTACTGAACGACAAACTCCTCTGTAACTGAGGTATGATAATATCCGGTAGCTTATGTTTTAACACGTTCCCTTGTGACCGTCTCACTCCTCTGTAACTGAGAGATGAGTATAGTTGGTAGCTAATGTGTTAACACATTCCCTTGTGACCGTCTCACTCCTCTGTAACTGAGAGATGATTATAGTTGGTAGCTTATGTGTAAACACGTTCCCTTCCAACTGTCACACTCCTCTGTAACTGAGGCATGGTTATAGTTGGTAGCTAATATTTTAACACGTTCCCTACTGAACGACAAACTCCTCTGTAACTGAGGTATGAGTATAGTTGGTAGCTTATGTTTTAACACGTTCCCTTGTGACCGTCTCAGTCCTCTGTAACTGAGAGATGAGTATAGTTGGTAGCTTATGTGTAAACACGTTCCCTTCCAACTGTCACACTCCTCTGTAACTGAGAGATGAGTATAGTTGGTAGCTTATGTGTAAACACGTTCCCTTCCAACTGTCACACTCCTCTGTAACTGAGGGATGAGTATTGTTGGTAGCTTATGTGTAAACACGTTCCCTTCCAACTGTCACACTCCTCTGTAACTGAGAGATGAGTATAGTTGGTAGCTTATGTGTAAACACGTTCCCTTCCAACTGTCACACTCCTCTGTAACTGAGGGATGAGTATTGTTGGTAGCTTATGTGTAAACACGTTCCCTTGTGACCGTCTCACTCCTCTGTAACTGAGAGATGAGTATAGTTGGTAGCTTATGTGTAAACACGTTCCCTACCGACCGTCACACTCCTCTGTAACTGAGGGATGAGTATAGTTGTTAGCTAATGTGTAAAATAAAATTTAATCAAGGTACTTTTTCACTTTTTTGCAAGAATAAGTAATCTTTCTTCATTTATCTACAAAAATATGTATTTTATTTGATTATGAACAATTAAAACTTTGATCTGCTATAATTTTTGTTAGGATTGACGTGGAGACCTTCTTTTATTATGGCCTTTACAATTATGTTGTACTTGATAGGGTGTTTTGAAAATTTTGACTTACCTTAAAGTACCCCTTTATAGGGGAGGGGGTGAAAATGTACATACTGTACACCAAAACCTTCCCTTTTTGATCATATATATATTCTTTAAATACTTTAAATATATTAAAGAATATATTCTTTAAATTTTATCTATATTAATTTAAAAAAATAACAGGGCGAGTGGAACTTTTGAGACACATGGTTTAGATAATTTAAAGCTTTTGTCTATAAAACACTATATATGCCAAATATTATTCAATTGGTGTGAGAAGAAGCATTTCAAGAAAAGGAAAATAGGATAGATAAAACAGTGTAATATCATATCATGAAATGCACCAGATTATAGTACCAAGACACATAGAATAATTTTGTCGATGGGAAGATTATGAGGGTTGCTAGTAAATTTAAGTCTCCAACGAGCTCCAGATGCCACCAATCAATCTGGGTCGGATCTGACACCCCCACCATGTTTTCTATTACCCTAGGGGGCAATTCTTTTCCTCACTACAATTTCCGCCCCTAAGGACCAAGGTTTGGACTCTTGGTTCGGTAATTGGCAGCGAAGTGAGAGAATATCTACAGGAAAAATGCCAAGAAAGAATCACATTCTGTGATTAGATTTATGTGGTCTAAGGTAGTCTGTGGATTCACATTTTTTCAGGTCGGTTTCAAGTGATTGGTTCAAGCCAGAAATAATTTTAGGGCAAAACTCAGGTCGGATCAAGCACTGCCAAACTTTTATTTACATGACCGCAGAAAGTGTCTGCGATGATGCACGGTTAAAAATTGACAATTTTACCCCAATCGTGATGGTCAAGGTTTAAAATTGTAACTTTAAAAGATGTCCTTCATTTTTAGCAAAATCGCTGAAATCATTCATGATTTCATTGAGACCGCAGTAGACATTCTCTATTTGAACCTGACTGCGGAAGATGTTCTTGGTTTCACCACGATAAGGGAAAGATCATGTACAATATCATATAAAAAATGATTATAGTATTACAATCAATAGAGTATTTTAAAAATCAACACTTTCCAAAGCTACCTGATTTTGGAAAAACCGTCCCACCCCAAGTGAAAAAGTCTGACCTGCAAACTCCTAGTCGGCTCAACCCCTTCCCCTTCCATTAAAGTCTATCTATCACTGGTAAATAGATTCATAGGGATGGGGACCGACTTGAATAGTAGTGAACTAAGTAGAGAATAAGGTGTCAGATTTGGACTAGTTCACTTAGGTTGAACAATTGGAAATCATTGGAAATCAAAGTAGGACCCGTCTTACAAGGAATATTTGGTTCCTCTTCTAGTGTTAGTTTATTTAAAATTCTTAATGCTCAAAAATAAGTTAGAACAGTTTTTTAACACCTCACAAATTAAAATCAATTCCAAAGTATGAGTACAGGAACTCTTGTAACAAAATCCAGCTTTGTGTATTGAGACAACTATTTAAGTAATCTTTTACACATAGGAAGTAGTATGCATTACCTAAAAAAGTGCAAAGTAGAGTGTAGCCTGTAGTGACACGTAGAGCAGCTGGTGGGCACGAGCAGTCCTTTCCTGGAGTCTCTCAAGGCTCTTTGCAACTTGGTGTGCAGGTCTGAGTATTGCATCTGAACTGTGGTGCGCAGCATGGCCCTCTCATGAACACACTTGTCAAACAGACCTGCAGCAATACACATCTACATTAGTACGAATAATTAATTAACAGAAAACAAACATGTTTATCCCTCGTATCTCCTTTATAAAAAAAATACCCCCGCCGCAGCAAACCTGCTGCCTAAGCGAATTTCCATTTGTCTGAATAGATTTTCAATTAAATCTATTTAAATAACATTACGTTTAATGAGTACCTAGGTTTGCTGCTACAAGGAAAGTAATAAAGTATATTTTTAAGTAAAATATGAATAGCTTAGGATAAAATAAATAAATTTGCCAAGTTTAATCAAAATATATCCATAAACAAGCAAATTACAACATTTTACAATATTCTCCATAAGAATAACATAGGAATTTTAAATTTACATTTTTTTAATTTTCTCCATTACTAATTACCATACAAAAACACTTTGATATACAAATTATTTTTTTTCTGAGCTCTTTAAAAAGGTTAAGAGAGAAATTGGGAAATTTTGTGTTTTGAGGGTCAAAAGTTAAAAAAACCATTTTTACCCAAAAAAAGCCCCCGTAAAACCCCGTTCCGATGATCCGATCATGCTGGTTCACAAACTCATTCAAGTTCATCCCGCCTTACACCTTTAAACCAAATTTCATCAAAATCGTACAAAAATTACTCAAGTTATCGCGTTCACGGACGTATATATATAAATACATATATAAAAATTTGAACGAACGGTGTTTTTGGCCTCTGGGGACATCAAAATGAAAAAGTAAATCGGTCCCGGGCCTAGGTTTTACCTTGGCACCTACGGTAATAGCTACTTCCCTATAGGGAAATTCGCTAAAAAAAAATATTAGGTGAAGACAATCTTAATTGAATGTTTGTTTCTGGTAAATCATCAATGTTTACTATTTTGTTGAATTTATTTTCAATTTGAAAACCATTGCAACAAAATATAATCTTGGCCTAACTATTTCAAAAACATAAGCAAACATGATTTCAAAATTTACAGAAAACCAACTCAATCAGACCTAATGATGCCATAAAATTCTAACCATCCTTGGAAATACAAACTATCTGCTCTTAGATCCATGCTAAATCGTCTTTTGAACATTCCAATGACAAAGGAAAATTACAAAATAGAATTAAACCAAATTAAATACTTAACATCAAGGAATGGATATAAGCAAAACATCATCTACAATATAATTTGAAACATCAAAAGAAAGAAATATCTAAATCAAGAACACAACAATAAAAAAAAGAAGAAAGAAAAATTAATGAATGAAATGTGTTTATTTCCACATAATATATAAAGAAGACAAAACAAACTTTTTAATACAAAATATACTTACAAAATATCAGTTGAGCAGTAAGATTTAATTACCCTGAGTTCTGAGCTAGCCCGCTGTGCCGATGCAATTCTATCAAGAAACATGTCAGTTACATAGGCAATGTTTCTTGTTACTGTGTGGATGGCCAGTTTAACTTCCTCATCTAAATCATAACTCTCATTAGCTGCTACAGGACTTCTTGAGAGACAATCAGCAGTGGCTAAATGTTTGCCAGGAGTGTATGTCACATTGTAGGAATATCTCATCAGACAAAGTCTTAGTCTTTGAAGACGGGGTGTCATATCATTGATCTCTTTAGTAGTCAAAATACTTACCAAAGGTTTGTGATCTGTTTCTAGCGTGATGAGCTTGCCCACAATGTAGTCTTTAAACTTGTCACAGCTCCATGTTAATGATAGAGCTTCTCGTTCAATGTTATAGTAGTTTCGTTCGGTTTCGCTCAGAGTGCGTGAAATATAAGAAATAGGCTTCCAATTCCCATCTGATTGTTGTTGTAAAAGTACTCCACCCAGGCCTTGTGTAGAAGAGTCAGCAGAAATCATAGTCGGTTTATTTTTATCATAGAATGCAAGTTGAGGTGGAGAAGCCAATAATTCTTTCAGTTCATCGAATGCTTTTTTGTTGTTCACAACCCCAACACCATTTGTTTTTTCTACTTAGTAGGTCGGTAATGGGTTTTAGTAACCGGCTTTTGTTAGGTATGTATTTGCCAATGAAGTTCACCATACCAAGTAACCTTTGAACTCCTAAAATATCTGTTGGAGGAGCCATTTTTCGTATAGCTTCGACTTTGGTCTCATCGACTTGATTCCTGATTCAGATAAATGGTGACCTAGTTCTATTTCTTATTTAGATAAAAATTAAAAGATCAAAAGAAACTAAACTGTTTTTAATCAAGACACTAATACAAGACAATATTATTAAAGAAAGTAAATAAAATCATATGGTTAAATATTAGTTAAATAACCATAGAGGTTAAACACAAATTGATGAACTTAGTAAGATCACTGATTATTGCCAAGATTTGTAGCAACATTAGGTAAACTGGAAAGTGGAGAATACAGACAGCATGTTATGTTATATGACTACTGACCCATGATGAGAGGTCGCAGCTCTCCCAGTGTCCCGTTGGTGTGTTCCAGCAATAGATGAACCTCAGAGGCCAAGTTGAGGTCTGTGTTGTTCAGCACTTGTCTTAACAGATCTGAAAAAATAAATTGACTTTATAAAGATTATAGGATATGTTACAAAAACTGCCAAAACAGTAGGGTTTCCCTTTTTTAGTGAATTTCCCATATAGGAAATAAGCTATTACCGTAGTACTCATGGTAAGACCTGGACCCGGGACCGATTTAATTTTTCTTTTTTAGGTCCCTAGAGGCCGAAAACACCATCCGTTCAAATTCATATATATATATATATATATATATATATATATATGTGTGTCCGTTAGCGCGATAACTCGAGCAAAAATGATCCGATTTTTATGAAATTTGGTACAAACGTGTAAACCAACGTTTATTCAAACAAGTTCGCTAACCAGCATAATCGGACCATGGGAACGGGAGTTTATGGGGGGTTTTATGGGGTAAAAATGGGGTTTTCCCATTTTTGACCCTTAAAAGAACAAATAATTTAGTATATTGAAGCGCTGTTGTATGCCTAACGGTCACGGAGAAAATTCAAAAATAGTGTAATTTAAAATTCCCATGTTATTCTTATGGAGAAAATGAAAACTGTTGTAGGTTGTAGTTTACTTGTTTATGGATATATATTGATAAAATTTGGCAAATTTATTTATTTCATCCTATACTATTGACGTATGGTCAAAAGACACTTTTTACCTTCCCCGCAGCCGCAAACCTAAGCACTCGTTAAATCTAATGTTTTTTTTTAATAGGGAATAAATATGTCTTATTTATAGAAATAGTTTAGTAAAAATGTAATCAGACAAGTTGAAATTCGCTTAGTCTGCAGGTTTGCTGCGGTGGGGGTATTATTTTAATAGTTCTACTTTCTACCACCTAATATTTTACTCCACCAGTGTCCAGGTTAACTCAGGTCCAGGTTAAGCCGTGCCTATTATAGCCTAAGTAAGGACAATGAATTGTGTTGAAATATAGTGTAGATCGTCAGGGGTGCCCATCCCCCCTAAGGCTTATGACGCAAATTCCCCCCCCCCCCCAACACTGGTCAAGACATAATTCCCCAAATCAGACGTAGAGCTCTAGGTCCACCCCGGAAAGTATCACTTTCAGTAATTTCCCATACCTGTTAAGTAGTTCATTTTGCATGTACCCACTTACCAGTTACCACTGATTATTGAAATGAAAAAATACATTTACAAACACAATTGGCTAAATAAACTAAAACATAGCATAATATTTTCAATTGATGCTAGAAATTAAGAGTTATTGGTAACTGTAAATAATTTAGTATTATACACATTTATATATTACTAGGTGAAACCCGTTAATATCGACGGTTACTTTCAAGGCTTACGCTAATTCATCTAACTGCAATAAATTGAGTGAAATTATACATATTTCGAGCATTTAGCATTGATTAAAGATTAATAAGTGTAAAAACAATAATGATATTAATTGCGTTAGTTACCAAATATGGTTGATCATTCAATGAATAAAATAATTCCCATACTGTACGTCATCGGAGTTGTTAGTATGCTATCTGATATCTCTTCCTTTGGAAAAACCTTTAAATAGTACCTATTAAAATCGTATTGGTCAATCTTTTGTAGTTAAACACTTCCGTGATTTCATCAGTGTAATGCAGATTAATCTATGATTTTATTTGAAAGAAATCTGTTTGTTGGGAAGACACGTTCTAACTTCAAAGGGAGGTATATCCTTTACATTGTAAGTTTGATTTTACCTTCATCACGTCGCGTCAGTTCATATTGTACTTCTGTGCCAATGAATAACTCTCTAGCACAGTTTTGAGAAATTTGGTTGTGGGGTTACTGTTAAAGCTGGAATTCCTTGACATGGGGGATGTCAGTTAGTTGTCTCAGCCTTATCAGATACATAAAGCTGTCAATATAATCTCTCTACGGAATGTTAGGTGTAGTGGAATATACTTGAAGTGAAGTTGGCTTTTATTCTTGAACTGTTAGGGGCCTCCTCATTTATATGGTCGTACAGCTTCATTAGCAACAAAAAATGCGTATGACATAGTAATGTGGCATTTACAAAAAGCAAAAAATAATGTAAATTGGCTGTTACGTAAATATTGACGTTTGCATGCATGGTTAATCAACGTATCTTATAAAGGAAAATGTGATCTAGTTTAAAAGGAATATGACCTTTCTGTCATGACAGTAGCCGCTTAAATAGTATTTAGTCATTGGGCCATTTTTACAGCCAAAATGTCGTGTCATCCTCAATAATGTTACCAACCCAGTGGGCCACGATCCGTAATATAGGCCACTGCAAATAATTTGTCAAGATAGGTACTATTTTAGGCAAGGTTTCTGTGTTTGGATGTTATTAGAAACGGTAAGAGCACAATACAATTCTTCTGCAGATCAATTATCTGTTGGAGAAATATAAGCCGATTTATAAATGTCACAATGCGAGTTTGAGAAATTTGTTACTATATTATATGGGTAAGCTACATAGATTTTTAGGCTGCTGCTCAGTGCACTTTAAGAATATATATTTTAAGAGATAAATTAAATTGTTTTGTTACTGAGTAGCTAGTAAACATGCACAACCCTTTTCGTTAGTCTAATAACATTCAAAGGCTCTCTAAGAGTTCAAGTTCTTATTTGTATACATATCTATATTATGTTTTTACTAAGCTGAATGAATACATCGAAGTAACCTCTCTGAAAAGTCTGCAGTATATTGCGGTTTTCCAGCTTAATGACTTTCTAAATCATGCACATATTTCTACATAAAAATTGTAAAATGTTTTATCCAGTTGCTGTAAACCACTATTAATTTAACAAAATATGGACACGGCTCAAATGGGCACCGTGCCTTTCTGCACATGTATTATTTTCTATTGTATTACACAATCGAAGATTTTTCCAATGATTGAAAGCATGCATGACAATAATCTCATGAACCTATGATGATCTGTCTAGAATAATATGATAAAATATAGGGAAAAGGTGTGAAAAAGGCAGACACCAGCCCGTAAAATAGGTATAAGATAGCTCAATAAGAAATAATTGTAAGAACTGTTGTGATAAAAGGATTTTCCACTGATTTCGTAATAAAACTTTATATTGCAACACATGACATGATACAGAAGAAAACCAATTTTAAAATCAGAAAATAACATTGCAAATACATCTTTTGGACTATTCAGTAACTTCCAATAAATGTCTGTTGTTTAAAATACAATTTTAAAGTTAACAGCTGTTTTATTAATAAGTTCCACATGACCAAAATGTAAACAAATCTGTGGAGGGATCTTTAAAGGCTTCTGGGGCAGAGCCCTAAGCGAATTTACTTCGTTTTTCTTTTGATAACTCATCTACAGACCAAGACCTTTCTTTGGACACCTCTACCAAGTTTCTACACCCAGCCGTTCTCTCAAATTAGTGGAGACAAAGTGTCCAATTAAATATTTAGATTCCCCCATGTTAATCTTATGGGAGAAAATCCAACTTTGATGGAAGATCCTGCCAAAACTAATAAAGATATCAAAAAACGAAAAACACTTTGCAAAACTACAGATCAGGGCAATTTATTTGACACTTAAATCAACAAAATCGGTCCAAAAATGAGGGAGGAGTTCTGTTTACAAAAATCGGCTTAGCGTATTATATATATAGATTACGTTTTTCCTACATCAGTGCACTCCAACATAACTATGCAAGAGCATACTACAAAAAAGGTTACCAATTTATTCGATAGGATGTGAAGACTAGGCCTATTTGCAATATCCAAAGTCAATGATAAAATACTATATTATTGTTGTTGCTACATCTCAGAACTTTGGGTAGAAACTTAAAATCATGATTACAAAATTGTTTAACAAAGAAAATTGTGTAGTTGAGAGTATGGCTTTTAATAGTTATGCCATTACACAATATTCTATATAATAAACGATACATATGTAATCTTTATCCAAATGCTGAATTAGTATAAATTTGAAATAAAAACTTCACCAATATTTTTAGAATTTTTAATTTCATGAGGCCTTTTGCCAGCTATGCTGGCATCATCAGACACATCACAAAACTGAAGTTTATGTTTACTTACAATGATAAATTTTAAATGCTGAATTAGTGTTGTACTCGCTGAATGTTTGCAGCTGTAATCTTGAATTTAAATGGTGCTATGCCACTAGCTAATCTAGAACATGTCGGCTGCTAGGCTTTAAAAAAACTATAATTAGCTTAACACAAAACTGATACAAAAAATTGATATTGTGGCTTTGACATTCCCTTACTCTTAAAATTATCGTTCTTTCAACAGAAGAATGAAAAGAATCCGTTGACATATGGTTGATTCAGGATTTTCGAATAATAACCCCTGTACGTTTTGATATGATATAAGTTACTTTCTCTGGATTTATTTTGGATATAAAAACATATACCTTTATTGAATGTGCCAGCTATTTAATATGTTTTCTGTTTCCTTGAATTTTTTAAACTTAAATGCTCAAATTCAATGTTTTATGCTTAAATGTATTTGCATGGAATTTAGAGTTTTTTTGTTACCGTATAGGCCACCGATCACTATACAGTACCTGCTTCACAGAAAGAATGCAAAACGCCGGCGTTTGTGCGACAACAAACTACAGTATTTGCATCCGTCGCCCGTGAGCCGCGAGGACTGAGGACGGACGAAACTATTACAGTAGATTTAATAACCCTAACTACACTACGTGTAATAAATAGTTTACTTTTAACATTCCATACCAGTAAATTTAAAATAGAATAGTAGACCTGTGAATAATACAGAAAAGCATAAATTGTTTAGTTCATTACACTCAATTCGTACGAAATATCTCTTCCCCCCCAATAACCTTTTAAAACCAACCTAAAAATCCCAACCTAAAAATCACACTCTGCGTCATTCCACCATAAGAGCGGGCACCCCTGTAGATCATTATGTCAGAAGAGGCATTTTTTGTTGTTGTGTTGTCTTGCCGGAGGAGGCACATAAACAATTGGACTAAAACAATAGGATATTCAAAGAGGCAAGGTCCAAAGATTCAATACCCCTC